GCCTATTAGAAATGCATTAGTGCTGGTACACCTGTGTTAATACTTGTAATCGCTGACTTATTGCAGCAGTCTGAGAATAGCTCTTCGATCAATCAGCACAACCACTACCACCAGTGAGGATAAGACTTTTAGATTCATCACTGAGATAGCTGAGATTAGGCAACTGTTGGGTTGGACGTTTAAATCAATTTCAGAGTTGTATCCGTTTATCTAAGTCACAGTTTCCCACTCTGCTGGGATGATCTTTGTCTGGGTTAATGCAATCACTTCACTCTGCTAATCCTTGCCCAGGGCCTCTGGTGCTCAAGCTGAAGGAGCAGGCGCTGTCACTGCTTATTCAGAGTGGAAATTTACCTACCAATTACACGTTTACTGTTAAGGTGCAGTTGATTGATGCTTTTTGTAAGTGTGACAGAATTAGTTTTTTTCCTAATGGCATGGCTCTAGAGATGGCTAGGTAAATCTGTTGGTGCTTTGTTCGGATGCATTGCCATGAAATTTTGCACAGATATTTATGGTCCCCTGGGGATGAATCATACTGAATTTGATGATCCTCTGACTTTTCATCTAGCGCCACCATGAGATTGACATTTTTGGTTTTAAGTGAAAAACTTTGAAAACTATTGCATGGATTGTCATGAAATTTGGTACTGGTATCCATGGTACCCAGATGATGAATCCTAAAGATTTAGTGATCCCCTAACTTTTCCCTTCACAACACACCAAGGTTGACATTAAATCACAACCCAACAATTATTCGACAGATTGTCATGAAATATTGACATTCATGTCATCCCATAACTTTTGTTTAAGGCCATCATCAGGTCAAACATGTTTAAATGTGTTTCATACTCTTTGGTTTAGAAAATGTCAGCATGCTAACTTACTAAGATGGCAAATTGTTAAGCATTATACCTGTTAAAAATAAGCATGCTAGCACTGTCGTTGTGAGCATGTTAGGATTATGAATTTATGCCAAAGCTTTGCTCTGCCTAAGTGCAGCCTCACAGAACTGACAGCTTGACTGTAGACTGTTAGTTAATTAGTACAAAGAACTTACTCACTTAATTACCATTAAAATATACAGAATAAATGCCCTTAATAGCTTCCACATCAATTCCTTCTACAAATACATCAAAAGTACTTGAAATATTCACTTTGCATGGTGGATACAAACAAAATCAAACCGGTCACCTATATAAGAGCTGTTTTAAGTATCCTGGACTTCATACATTATATAAACATTAAAATATTTTCATAGCTGTGGTCTATTGAGATTTTACGAGGAGCTATTAATCAGTAACTCTCTGATTTCTTCAGACTCAGCACATGGAGGTCCATCACATTGACTTAGAAATTGCTGCACCCAGCTCTGGGCAGTCTGCTCCATATTGACTTAAGATTGCAGCCCTCAAGTCAGGTGAATAATAATTTACAAGGGATCTGGATCTGTCCCTCTAGTTATCAATAACATCAGTGTAGCAGAGCTCCTCTCTGCGGGCTCTGGTGCGTCCACATTGGACAAAAATCTCCAGTAATGAGGGACTCACAGAGAATAAGCTGAGAAAACAAATCAATACAAATGATGAGCAGGAAAACTTCACTCTCACATTTTTTTCTCTCTCTGCCCCTTAAGCTGCTATTTTGGCACCATTAGATCTGTGATTTGCTTGAGCAGGACGACATTTTGTCAATAACACCCTCAGGGAACGGCTGGAGTATGGCAGCACATTCGATAATAAAAGACAGGAAATGGCAAGTATAGTTTTTTTGTTTGCACTGGTTTCCCCCTTAATCCTTTCCTGCTTTGAAGACACTTTGAAGATGCAATATAAAATCTTTCAAAAGGTCCTGATGCCACTATGGATATAGAAACAAAACAGCAGCAACAACCAACTTTGACAAAGGTTAAAGGATTAGTTCACCCATATCACAAAAAATATTTCAGAACTGGAAATTTGAGATGCCGATGCTGATGCTGACACATCTACTGCCACCTCACATGGAGGTGGAAGGAATTTAATATGATGCTCACATTCCAACAGAAAAATCCAACAGCAGCATGTCTCTCTACAGACAATGCCCTGGGTAGTCCACAGAACTCACTGTCAGTAGTTTTAATTGGAGCTATTACCTCAATAGAAAGTGTCTGTGCGTTTGGCTGAACTGACTCGACAAACACAAACAAATAGGCACTAACAAGGGCAGAAGGCGGACAAGTCTAGATGACATGCCCACTTGTGTGAAAGCATGCTGTGGTGGAATTTGTGCCCATATAATCAGTTATATGCTTAATCTGATTTGATTAGTGTGTCCTGCTGGACGAGGAGAGGAGCTGCGCCCTGCTGGCTGCAGCCCTCAGGCTGCTGTCACACACTCAGCGTGAAGTCTCTGAGAACTTGTAATGAGGCCAGCCAAATCTTTCTCTCTGCTGCCTTTCACAGGAGAGTGTGCATGGGAACACACACACACACACCTGGCAATGAATACCTTAGGGAATTAGGAGGTCCAGCACTATGTTAAACACCATCTCCATTTCAAGAGGTGGAGGTTGTGGAGGATACAGAGTCCCTGGAGTCCACCTCGACAAAAGACTGGACTGGGAATGAAACACAGAGGCTGTGTACAGGAAGGGACAGTGGAGACTCTACTCTGAGGAATCTAGTGCAATACTTTGCTGCAGTCTACCGGGGCAGCAGCATCAGAGCCTGTGTCACCAAGAAAACAAACAAACTGATCAGGAAGTCTGGCTCAGTGCTGGGATCTTGGAGTTGGTTGTGGAGGGTAGGATGCTGCACAAACAGCTGAACATCGTGGAGAACTTCTCACATCCCCTCCACCACCTGCTGGTCAGACAGTGGAGAGCTTTCAGTAAGACGCTTCATCAGCTTTGATATGATAACGAACGCTACAGGAAGTCCTTCCTGCTGCCATCACTCTGAACAACGATTCTCCACTGTGTCTGGAGAGGGGGCTCACCTGACACAATGTTTACCTCTAACAGGACAGACTACTTACCTAGACTTTTTTTAATCACATTAAGTATTACATCTGTTATAAATTGGTATTTGAGCTGAACAAATTAAAGTTTGAATGGAGTTCCTATGCTGAAGTGTCTAGAAGAAGATTCAAATGGAATAATAAAGAACCTGAGAAGAATATAGTGGGATTGCATTTGCAGCAATCTCACCTACTGAGCACAGGGGCATCAGTATCCATTAATGAGTGAACAATCCTCCCCGGAAGACGTAGCTCAGTTGAGGTTCCTGGGCTTGGTGGTAGATAGAGCTGTCAAGCAGGAAATGGTGTCACACACCGTGGAGTAAGGGACTGCTACGACCTGTGTGTAGGGAAATAAATATCCTGTGACACAGCCAGGCATGTAATGGGAAAACTCAGTTACCAAAACCAAGGACACACACACACACACACACACACACACACAGGAAAACTGAGATAAAATATGCAGCTTAAAAACAAAGGCAGATCCTTGCTCATTCTGGGTCATAAATTGGAGTTAGACAGATTTTTTTTCCACATAAATATTTAAGATGATGATGGCTTTTGCAGTGATCTAAGAGTAATTTGAGTCCGGCATTCAAATGCTCGTACATTTGCTGCAGTATGGAGCTGTTGAGCACATTCAGTGGACCAAAACTAATATTACCTTTTCAAATAGCATTTTCTGCCCTGTTTAACATGAAGGAAATCTAACTTAAGCTCAATGGGGCTATTTTTATTAAGAAAATTTAGCTTTAATAAAAATGTAGGATGACATTTAAGCTAGAAGAAACCTAAATACATGCAATATTGATCTGTTTAGAAGTGACTGCTCTCAAAGTGATCCAACAGACGCAACCAAGGGATTTTCATCAAATGCAGTTGTTTTGTCTGGGGCTGGGGTTGTTGTTCATGTTGCTTTGGCTGCAGCAGCAGCAGCAGCAGCTCACAGTACACCTGCAGGCTGTGCAAGCTCAGAAGGAGATGAACATGGAGTTCCTAGAGGAGGAGGAGGAGGCAGGGTGACGACCCCACCAAACTATGAGTTGTGTGTGATGAGGGGCACTTTAACTGCAGAATGTGTACCTGTTCCTCCTCAGGCAGTCAGACATTTTGAGATTTAGCTGTTATTACAGCTGTATATATTATTCACTGTAATTTCAAATTCTCTTTGAGTGTCTGGATGAGAGTTTTTCTTGTAGAAGGATTTTCTTTTTTTAAAAGAACAATGAGTAAGTTTCAGAGGGTCAGAGGTTGTATACTGGTGCTGTCGGATTGAACAGCCTTCAATTAAAATATTCATTAAAGAGGAACTCTAGAGGTCAGATCGGGACTCATTTATGAAGGTGAAAGGTTATTTATTAAATCTTACTAGAGTTTTTGTCGTACTTTGGTGTTTTGATGCGGGAATTTTGTAGTATCATGTATTTCAAGATTCTATTGTTTAATTTCATGTTTATGTCATGTTTTTTTGGAGTCTAAAAGATGCTTTTAACACCTAGGCTTTTTCTAGCCTAGTTTTGATTTTCATGTGTGTGCTTCTTGAACCAGATCAAGCAGCTAAACAAAGAAAATCCAGGTGTGATTTAGTGCAGCTTGATCATCAAGCTTAAAATACATTTATGGGTAAGACAATTTGTACTTTGTAGTGTTTTCTGTGAATACTGTGTGCTATTACATGAACAGGCCGGATCATTTAATAAGTGTTTTTTTAGTTAATTATGTTAATGTTTCAAGAGCTTTCCTAGTGAAATTAAATTGCCTCTGGGATGATTAAAGTCCTAATCTATAACCATCTGTTACTCAGCTGTTTAACAGACAGTCTGTCCACACAGGTTTATTGTAGTGTTGACTCAGCACAAATGGCTCAATTTTCTTAGTCTAACTAGTGGAAACTGATAACTTTTCACCTCCAAGTCCGAGATACTGGTATGATCCTTTAGGTGCATGTGGTTCATGAATGAAGACAGCAACTGGGAAAAGTGGTTACAGTTCTTAAATCTTTAATGTAAACAGCAGTTTTGAGGGGCTTTGAAAAATCCTAAAGAAAAACATCTGAAGGTATTAAATAGGAAGGGGAAAATATATAAATCATACTAGAAATAACAACTATGATCTGTTTTTAAATTAAAAAAATACATAAACTTTCAATTTTGTGGCCATATAGTCCCAAACACACAAAAAAAGACAACTTCCCTTGACCAAATACTAACATCCTCTTTGTAATACCAACTACTTGGCAGTTTCACAATTTTAAAATCACTAAATTATGACCATCTTACACATGATAAACAAAAAAAGCTCAAATATTGCTTAGGAATGTTGTGTACAGCAGTCATTACAACGAGAGAGACTCAAATGAGGGAGAGACGAGTGTGTGTTTGTCTGTGTGTTTCACAATGGGGCTGCTTTTACGGTTGTTTTTGGCAAAGCCACTGTGTAGGTGTGTACAATATGCAATAAGCAGCGGTGGGATAATAACATTAACATTAAAATATTCAAAAGAAAGGCCTTTTACTGTCGTACAGAGCCTGGATTTTGATGATTGACTTGTTCTAACAGTCTTCAGTATATGTGTAGCAGGGCAGAGCAGTTATAAGAGACTATCTTTTAAGATGTATTCATTAAAATGTACTTCAACCCTCTGCTCAGCCTCTTGGAAAACACTTAGCTGCCACAAATACTGTACGTGAGAATGTGACAGGAAATACTGCTGGGAAGTTGACAACAAAACACAAAACCCCCGTCCCTCCCTGCTCCTGAACTACACAACCACCATCCCTCCCCACACAAAAGCCCTGAGGAAAAATAATAAAAATCAACATAAGAAAGGACAACAAGGAAGCTGAATCAAATAAAATTTCTAAGCATTTGTCTACAACGGTCTTCAAGCAAGATGACGGCTGGCGCCTCGGTCGAGAAGAAGAAGAAGAAGAAGAAGCGAATGTTTGGAAACATCAGACACAGGAGGAGAGTGAGGAAGAAGACGCAGGACGACCAACGACAGGCCAAACAAATACTTCCTGGTTTCTCATCTCCATGGCAACCTGATGACTGCATCGAACCCCATGTCCCTCAAGTGCCTATTAATGTGTCCCATTATCTCTCTTATAGAGGTCTAGTGAGAAGCAAGAGGAAAATAGTTCAATAAATCCTTTTTCTTTCAATCACAGTTCATTTTTTATATCGTATGGTTTTATTCATTTTTATGTTCCAGTTTATAAGAAAAGGGGATTGGTCCAGTGAGTACAGTAGGTGCTGGGTGGGTCTGGGTTCGATCTTGTACTGTTGTTTGTCTAGTTACAGTCATAAACAAAGTCATAGTTGCTTGGTTCTTTGGGAATTGGGGGCGGGGCCTCGGGGATCTGGATGTTCTCTAAATCCAAGAGTCGGAGCTTCATCTCCATGGAGAGCAGGGTGTCCATGTCGGATTTGGTGTAATCGCTGGTCATCTCCTTACCTAGGAGGGCGTTTAGACCATCTGTCCACACGCAGTACTGCATAGACATGGACAGAGGTAGATCCAAAATGAAAACAAATCAGTGCCAGCAAAAAGAATCACAAACACAAAACAAAATACTTCAAAAATTCAACAAACAATAATTAAGAATGATGTGTTTCCAGACTCAACGGAAGCTGCTGATAGCATACAGACGCCACCTACTTTAGAGACCTGCAGACATAAAAGAAACTCACCACTGAGGGAGAAAAGTCTGTGTACACTGTGACTCAGGAGAAATAGAGCAGGGACACCTTCTTCTCTCTTGTCCTAATTACAAACTTCTATGTTTGAAAAAATATATTTTTTAAAAAAGTTTCTGGATTCAAGCTACATAAAATGATGCGTGTTACCCTTAGATTAACTCTTGCAGCTTTAGCCCTTTGTGTTAGGTGTCTAATAATGATGCCATAATCAATGAAACGAAGAAGAAGGTTCCCTTTCATTTTGCAAAGTTCTCGAGTAAATAGTTATTATTATTATTTTCTCTGACCTATATCGATGCCGAAATATATAATTACATATATTGTGATAGAGGATTTAATTCATATTGCACACTCCTATGTAACAGCAAGTCTTTTAAGTCTCTGAATAGTGATCATCAAAATGCCAAAGCTGCTTAATATATAGGTTTTTTTTTATATTGTTGTGGGATTTCACCAGCTTGAACTTGAGACTTGATGTTTTTGATATTTTTGCTTGGTCAGTGAGTCTTAATTTCGTTGAATGTACCTTGTTAAGCATTTGACCACTAACAGACTATTTTTACATTTTTCACATTTGGTTTGTATCAGGCTTGTGCATGATGGTGAAGCCGAATGCCAACTGACAGCAGTAATATGTAAAGAAGCGCAGCCGACACATTGTCAAGTAAAGTTGAAAATGCAGGATTCATTTTGTAAGAAAAATTGACTCAATGAGAAAGGTTCAAGAAAAGGACAATACACACACATTTAGTACACTGTGCATGGTGCAAATGAATCAGTTAAACACACTGTGGTGATCATTTGTAATATATATCTGACTTCTACACACTTTCTCTTTGTGCAATCACACTTGTTCATTCTGTCCATGACACTATCAACAGCCGAGGCAGTGTTGGCTTACCTCATGCTTGTCAGGAGCAATAAAGTTTAAATACTCGTCAGACTCGTACAGGATAGTGAAGGCCAGCTCTAACACCTCCTGGATAGAGGAAAGAGTGAAAGGGGGGGGGGTAACAAGTGAGATTTACACCACAACGCTGCCATACCAATGCAGTCTCCCTCTCCTCCACATGTCTTGTCACCTTCTGTTACATCAGCTGCAAATCAACATATCAGCGAGAGAGAGGAGCCAAATACCTGGGATGCCTTTAGATTCTAGACACTGAATATGATGTGACATGTTTCCAGGTTTATTCCCTCAAAATCCACCATGGTCTACTATGGGAAACAAATTGAATGCAGTGTGAGGACACTGAGATCCAGATTTGCATACATGAAATTAATTCATTAAATGCATGCTTGCAATCTGCGTGAAATTAGCGCCTGATTTAGTGAGGCAGCAGGTAATTACACAATCCGGGGCTGCAACCTAGGCACAGTTTGTGAGGCAGAGCTTAAGCGATGCAGTTCAGTGGTGGGATTTGTCTCAGATCAGGAGGCTAAGAGAAGAAAACATGTAGTGATGTTGAATATAAACATATATTACTGAAGTAATGTAGTGAGGGCACTGTGAACCTACACAATTTCATGGCAATCAATGTGACATTTGTTGAGGGCTGGCAAGGATATTATGTCCATGGTTAAATATGAAGCAGTGGTTGTAGATGACACTGATACAGCTAAAGTCTCCATAGAAGCACATGCTAACTGCAACCAAATGCACTTTTATAAATCAAATAAGTATAATCTCCACAGTGCATTAACAGCTTTGTTTGCAGTTTGAGGTTTATGACCACAAAGACACGGCTCTGCTCTTTATTTGGTCTTATAAAAAGGATACAATGTTCATTTGTTAATGCTCTTTTTTTAAATGTTGTTTTTTGTTCATGAACTAATTACGTGCAGGCCCACTTCTTTTGCCGCTCTGTCTGCTATCATTTTGTTTAAATGAAATACTGGTTAATTAAATTTCTCTTCCCTCCCCCAGACGGCCTTATTTCAGTGTACTGTAGCTGCACAAATCTGCACCTGCTCTTTAGACGCAGAGGATTTTCCACACAACTCGGAGCCATCGCAAATTGAATGAGCATTCCTAAATGCAGCAGAACATGCAATCATCCACACTTATCCTATATCCACCAGTTATTTGCGTGATGCCCCTTTTAAAATTCACATAAAGCAAAAAAGTTTCCTTCAGTAATGAGATGCAAAGTGCAGCACACATGACATGCAAACTGCTCTTCCAGGTCGGTGCACCTGTCTTCCTAGATGACACGCGTGTCTTGAGACACAGAGGGTGTCTGAAGGAAGGTAAATATGGCTCCGAGTACATATGGGAGATATAATAAGTATGGAATAATTATAAAAAATATCATAATGAAAGCGATCAAAGAAATGCTTGTGATGAATACATTTGGCAGAATATGAGAAACAATCTGAAAACACTGCTTTTAACTTCACCCTGCCACCTCTGTCTCAGTGTCCCACAAATGGTCCACAGGCCAGCTCTGCACTAAAGCCCGCAGAGGTGACTTTGGCTGGCCTTGTAACAGTGAGTAATGAAATGTGCTTGTGTTCTCATTCACAAGGCTGGGACAGGCCTGCTAGACGGCCCACAGACCCCCTCGGGTCATTCTCCTCGACCTGTGCTTATCGACAAGGTAATAAAAGAGACAAAGCGGGAAGGAGGCGTGCTCCTTTGTCTTCAAGGCTATTTATCCAAGATCCAATATATCAGAGTCCTGTGGGGAGGGGGAGTGAAGGTTTGCAGAAACAAAGTGCAGGAAAGGAAGGGCTGATGTGTACACAGACGCAGACAAGATGGCTCTTTCATCCTGGTTATGGTACCACAGAGGGCACACCAATGTGTTACTCTCAAATTTAAACAGCAAAGAAAATATGTCAGTATCTTTTCAGCGACTCCTGCGTGATCTGTGCAGCTAAAGGACTACTCTGTGATTTATTTCTACACAACGCCGCTAAGCACCGACACACAAGTTATTGTGTTATTTCCCAAAGCAAAATTATGTAACTGACATCATGTTATGCAACTCTTATGCACACAGAAACACAATCTCCTGCCTGGATACACACCCACCCGCCAACACATATGCACGTGTGTGCGCACACATGCACCCACGCGCACGCACACACGCACACGCACACACACACAATTTCCCAAAGCAAAATTATGTAACTGACATCATGTTATGCAACTCTTATGCACACAGAAACACAATCTCCTGCCTGGATACACACCCACCCGCCAACACATATGCACGTGTGTGCGCACACATGCACCCACGCACACACGCACACGCACACGCACACACACACACATAACACACACACACACACACGCACCTTGTTTTGCTTCAGGGCTCCCTTCTCCTTCATGTGAGGACAGTCTTTGCCGGTGATAACAGCTTTGATTTCAGCCACAGGCACTGCAGAGAGGACAGAAGTGAGTTCACAACAACAACAACAGCAACAACATCCCTGTGACAACTGTGTCATCCCAGATGGGTGGCTGGTTTACTCAAGTGATTAAAACTTAAATCCTCCCCAGGTCTGCCACTGTGCGAGAATCATAAGTCAAACTGATGTCAACACTGACTCTTGGTGTCAGTGGCAGCTATTTGTCACTGCCCATACTGTGTTTGGGGGCTAGGTATGCTTTAAATAAGGGCAGAGACAGTAGTCTTGTAGGAAATACACGAGTTGCAGTGAGTGCAATTAAAAAATACATTCTGAATCAAAGCAGTGGGTGAAGACCATCAATAATTTCACTTGACACTCACATTTTTCCTGTAAAGAGTCGTGGGGCACCTCGCCCTGAGGGCTCTCCTCCAGATCTCCATAGTGCAGGACTTTATGGTTCGGAGACAGACGGCAATACCAAAACTTATCTGGAAGAAAAGATTAGGACAAAGAAAAACAAAGGGGCGGAGGAGACCGATTTAGAGGAGTTATGAAATAACTCGCTGTTATAGGACATCATATGGGATTGCATGAGTCATCAACAAGAGAGAAAATTAGCGTGCCAAAAAATTCTGTGACAAAATAAATAAATAAATGAAAAAGAAAAAAAAGAAACAGCCTTGAGGAAAATCCACAGATGGGCTGTGATGCTGGGCATGAGGGAGGGGTCTTGATGGGCAACAAAACAGACAGTTGGCCTTCATCGTTTTTACAATGATTCAACAACAACATACAAGCTCAAGTCAAGATCAAGAGAGGACATGCTGGGCTTTTTCTGGCAAAGATTATACCTGAACTGTGACTTGGTTTATTTTCTTTTAAACAGAAAAGCTAAATCCAAACATGTAGCAGGTCACCAGCAGAGGCACAAGGTCCAGAATGTCTACTCTGCCCACGGAAAGCACCAACGATGGCTGAGATATTTTAAGAAAACAGTGACAGCTCTTTGGTGTTTCAAAATGTTCTAATTTAAATAACTAGAATGAACCCCTCCGCCGAGTTTGGTGCACATCGGTTCAGCACTTTCTGAGTAATCCTACTGACAAACAAACTAGAAGGGCATTCAGTAGAGCACATACCTCCAACATACACCAGACTCATAAACATCCTGTTTATGAAATGTTTAATATGCACATGGCATCAACAAAGTACAAAATTCAGCCATTTTTGAGGCTGCAGTTAATGTTACATGTAGGCTAGATAAAGCTGGACCACGGTCAGAATAATGGGAAAGTTTACTGGAGAAGAGAGTGGTCACAAGTTGATGTGGATTTCTTATTTATATAAAACAGGAAGACTTCTTTAGATGTTAGATTTTTACTTAGATCATGTAAAAAAAAAAGGAGGAAGTTACTAATATTTTATTACCTTTACTCGCAACATTTTGCATGTTCATAATGCAAGTGAATACTTTAAGTTGTGAGACGGTTTCACTCTGGTTTAAGCTTAAATGCAAAACTCTTATCTTGATCTTATCTTTATTATCTCTATAGAGGTCTTATTTTGTTAAAGGTGAAGCGTTATTTAAGTAAGGCTTAATTGCCACATTAAGAAGACATAAATCAAGTTATGTGAACTCCTCTCTTGGCTGATGTTATGAGTAATTGTCCAGCAGTGGGGGCCTGTATCTGCCAGCTGTGTCTATAAAGCCTCCACCAGCAGCCTCTGCGGCCGGCCTGGTGTTCTTTCGGAGCTTCCCTGCCAAGGTGGGCACCGAGCTGAGCTGGCACTGAGCGGGCACAGACTGGGGAGGTCTGGCTGGCGTGTGCATGGGTGGCACAGTCCAAATCCTAATTGCTGAAAATAGACAGTTGGCGGTGCCAGGCTGGTGCGGAGTGGCACCGGTCCATGGGGAGCAGGAAGAGATGTGTGTGGCGGCTGTGAGGGGAGGGACACGCTATCAACTGATTTGTGTGTGCTCGTGTATCTGTATACAAGCACATATGTTCTTCTTTTGGCTGGAAGACACTATGTCTCAATTTTGGATTTAATTTAATTCTTGCATAATGTCGAACTATAACTGTCTTAATTTGATTCAAACTCCAGAATGAAAAGATTCAACAGAACCAGAACAAATTTCCAAGTTTACTTTTGCTTTAATGCAGCTTTTACACAAAGCACACTTCCCTTAGCCCCAAGTGGCACTACCTGACAGTACCCTGCACTTAAAAGACAGTACAGGTAGTACTCTTTATTCCGATTTCAAAACACCATCAACCTGAGCTTTTAGAGAGAAGCTTCCCCTTGTAATGGGCAGACTGGCACTTTGGAAGGTAGAGAGAAGAGTCATCTGCACTGAAGTCAGCTAAATTAATATTTGATGTAGGCACTTGAGTCCCTGCAGGCTGGAGGACTTTGAAATAGTTGTACAAGATGCTGAGGGAAGAGTGGGAGAAGGAGAGAGAGAGAGAGGGAGGGAGGGAGGGAAGGAGGGAGGAGGGGTGCACGTTTTATGTATGAAAAAAAAGACGCAACAGACAGAGAGCTACTATATAAAAGTATAAAGATTGTGAAAGTTTGTCAGAGAAAAATTGACTAATAAACCAAAGCACCAAGTGAAAATGAAACTTGCTATGGGGCTCATTTTATTCATGTTCAGCCTGCCTAAGGTCTGCAAGACAAAGGGCTCTTTACATTGTCAGTGCATGGATATACTTTTAAGTACCAGCATGAGAACAATAGCTCAGAGAGGAGGTGGGAGGCTAGGATAGACATGTACGGGTGGAGGGAAGAGAAATCAGAGTGAAGGCATGTGAAGGTGGTAGCATGATGGCAGATAGGGAAAAGGGTTTGTACGAGTAATGTGGAAAAACAGCATGTCCTTGACTCGAGTGTCCTCAGAGGGAAAGACAGCTACAGCTAGCTTGCAGCAGGCAGACAGCTCCCCTACAGTCAGGGGACTGTTGCAGCGGATTAAAGCCAGTGTAACCCTACAGGCTACTGTGCTAAATTAAATCCAGAGAGGCTCATGAACTGCTTTATGTACTGTGTGTGGGTCTACTCTTCCTGAATGGCTAACTGTTTTGTTTCTGTATTTAGTATGCATGTGGCTGCTTGCTTATATGTGCATGTGTCCTCAATTCATTTGACAGGCTTTCTAGGATCTCTTAAGTAACAACTGTGATATGGTAATATGAGCCCATTCACAGCATGTCACCGCCGCAAAAGCCAGACAGGCATAAATCAGCCGACCACAAGCAGCGAAAACGATCTGATGCTAAATCTGGAGGATGTTTTCCACCTCAACATCTGTCCTGCAATATCTTTTCAACATCATTTTTTTCCCCTTACTCCTATGTTTCTTTTCAGTTTTTTCTTTTTATTGTTTCTGTGACCCAGCTTTGACAACATCTGGATGACAGCTGCCAAGACGAATCGTAATCAGGCTTTAAAATGTCAGAATACATTGATGTGAGAAGGAAAAAACACCAGGTTTTACTCAATTTGATTTGACTTATTGGAAAGCAGAGTTCCTGCAGGGAAGTTGATGACAATAATCCAATAACAGCAACCTGAGCTTGTCACTGGGTTTTTTTCTTTTTTATTTCATGAATTTGTACGTATGTGTGTAGACAGAGAGAAAAGTGACAGAGAGAGGTGAAGGAAAGTGCAAGAGGGAGGACAGAGAAATGAAGGGATCAGGTCTCAAGCAGATTAAATCCTATTTGACTGAAGTGCAGTATATTATACAGGCTAAATGCTATCACTGCTACTCCTCTCTATCCCCCTTTCGCTCCTCCTCTCTCGCTTTCTCTCTCATGGCAGCGTGTGTGAAACATGATATTAGGCTGAATGATTCGAATAGGCTCCTGTCTGAGCTGGCTGCTGGGATTTTCCCTTTGTATCCGTCTTCCTGTCTCCTCTATGTATCACTAGGAAGGAATACATCCATACTTTCACTCAATTAAACCAAAGGAAAGGACTGTATCTGTGGAAATGAGACTTTCCTTGCCCAAAAATCTCAACATAGCTTGGCACCGTGGACAAAACAGACATCCTTAATGAGCTTAAATGTGAGTATGTTAAACATCTTCTGAAAGTTGCAGCCCCTGACGTCTGCCATGGCACAAATTGTCTGACTCACACCCTCCGTGCTGTAGAGCAGCATCATGTTTGATCACCCTCCATGCTGCAGAGCAGCATGAAGCGTGTGTAACTTCTTTCATTTCTGTTTTCAAAGTTTTCTCTTGAATTTATCTTGACAAGTGCAAAGTATGAATGTGTGTTCATGGCTTCGTGTCTTTGTATTTTTTTGCACTGCAATGTATTTGTGTATGTAGGGGCCAAAAGGAGGAGAAGACAGTGTGATTGTGCATCTCAAGATAGCAAAACATGCATGTTCTTGAATAACAGAGGCGGCCTGTCTCTGCCTCAAAGGCTGAGAGAGCTAGAAAACTTGTGTGAGCGATCGTGACAGCAGAACCACAGCAGTCCCCCGTTTGGAAGATCTCCTGTGATAAAATGTGTCCTGTGGGGTTTCGATACAGCAAAGGGAATAAGAAGATGAGTGGGGGGTGCAGAGGGGAGGGATGAAGAACAAACAGACTGAGGGAGACGGGGAAAGAAATAGAACAAGGGTCTGTGTTGATGCAGCAGACGGATGTGAATTTCAGTGTGTATGTGGTTATGATTTGTGGGTGAAGGCGGTGTCACGTCAGGATCGGATGCTGGTGCATACATGTGAGTGCGTGCGCGTGTGAATACTGTGTGTCTCACCTTGCCTCCTGCGACTACTGATCTTCCTGAAGCAGGTTCCCTCACACAACCTGTTGAGCCTCTGCTGTTTGATCAGCTCCATGATCTCTGGCTGGATCTTCTCCCTCAGCTCCCTGCAGATACAACAAACACACATTATTGGTTTAAGACAATTATCTAAATTCTGTCAACCGCACCCATCCAGTGTGGCAAGCAGGCAACAGCGAGCGGCAGGATGCTCCAAGTGAATTTTATAACATTTAGCCTGTTTTTCTGCCAGCGTGCAATATTCATCTGTCAGGAGGGAACAGAGGATAAGAAAGACACATACTTCCACACATACGTGCACATGCATAGTGCACACGCTCAGAAATATCTCATGTAGTGTCCCAAAAGGCTGATCGGTGAAAATCTGTGCCGCTCCAGCTCCTTCTTGGATCACTGTCATTTATTCATGCATCTACATGTATGTGTGTCTGTGCTGCATATGAATGTGAAGCACACAACACTAGTCAGCATGAATTATGTATATTATCTGCCCGAGCAGTGCTGCTCCCCATCGTTTTTCTATTCTAGAAATTTGCAGGTTTTGACAAGATTTCCGTTTTTCTAGCCGCATAAAAAATTGTATTTCTAACAGGAAGCTATTCATTTTCTTGTATTTCCTCTCTCTGATGGTCATGATCACATTTTTGTCCTTCTCTCTCTTCCCTCTCACCGTCAGGCCCATCAGCACTTGTCTCCCTTCATCCGTCTCCCCGCTCGCCCTCCCCGTCTATGCGTTCGCCTCATCAGTGACTCCAGTCATTACATTGATCTGTGGTCGCACATTCACTCTGACATCTTTAAAGAAACAGCTAGTGGGGAAGGCGTGGCTCATCGCTGGAAGGATGGATGGTGATAGCTCGGCTTTAGCGCCTCTCGTGCCATCCTTCTGACTGGGCTAGAGACACGTGAGACTGTTTTTGTCTCAGACATTTACACAGTCTGGCTGCTCTGTCTTCTTAGGAAGTAGCTCCAGTTTCAATCTAAACTCTTTTCTGGCAAATGCATAAAATCACAGACAACTGAATTAATGGGCCGAGGTATTGCCCTGGCAAACCTCTATGAAAAGAAGCACCCCGCTTGGTATCAGGTGTCAAAAAGATTAAAGAAATGAGGCAGGAAAACCCCTTTCAAACCTTGTGGAAATGTACATTAACTTTTAACATCAACACCGCACATCAGTAAAATATTGCCGAGCACAAGTGAAAGAGAGAATCAATAATGAATTGAGTTAAACCACTTTTCATCCTAATTTTCTGGAGGTTGCATTAAAATTATGTTGCATATTAACATTTTCTCATTAGTGCATCCTCAGCAGCTCTGAACTGACCTGCTGCATGAATTTTTTATGTGATGACGATTTTATTTCTTGGTGTAAGCAGCTTTTGGTAAATTAAAAACTTCCAACATACATCTCCCCCCCCCCCCCATAAAAAAAAAACAAAACATATCAAAACAGCTCCAAATTCTGCTCCAACAAGAGTCAAAACGACATTAAATAATTCTTCAGCTCAGGCATTTTACGAGAGACACAGCTTTGATCTGAAGCTATAATGGCTCCTCTTCACTTTCTTTTGATCTCTGCAGTCATTCCCTACAATAATTGATGGAAGAAAATTGGCAGCAATTGTAGAAGGTAATACAGAGCTCCTTTAAATCTGCCGTCTGACATGCTCTGCTCATTATGTTTACAAGTCATGACTGTACCGTATTGATTAGAGGAAAATTCCAACCTTGTGTCATCTCATACTGCTGACAAGAGGCTCGTCAGTCTTTGACACTCACTGCTCTCCAACAGTTATGCTGTGATAAAATGTTAAAATGTGCTTTTTCATGTCAGCGTCTGATTCGATTTCAATTATATATCACTTACTTCTCCCAGAATACTGTTTGACAGCAGACTGGAGAGACTGGAGAGATTGGGTGGGAACTTGTTGCATTCAGCTATACTCTTATTATTATATTGAAATCAGGTCAAAAAAATGGATCTTAAATGAGAAACTACACTACTTGTGTTATTTATTTAAAAAAAAGTTAGAGTATTTTTTTATTGTACAGTTTTCCACAACTTCCTTCACCTTTGTTCTGCGTTCACCTCTGTGATTAATTGGCTTCAAAAGTTTGGTCTCTACCCCTCCAATATCGATTTAATAAGCCCTTGGCTCAGCATTGATTACTGTTCAAAGGGACAAGCTCACTCTGTGAAACGATTTTTCAATAGTGCTTGCTACTCCATTAAATACAGGCAGGACAAAACAATGTTCTCCATTACAGAGACTGCATCCATGATCAGTCAGTGAATGATCTATAACAGACTAGCTCTCCATGCTTAATGAGCTGGAGGGTCATTAATGGAGCATTCACTGGGAACGCCATTTGCAGACAATTTGAATTTAATGCATATTTTCAATCTGGAGAAGAAAGCACAGGTGCAACCTGCTTGAGGCCAGTAGCTGGCATTTGGTTGACAAATGGAAAGAGGAAAAAAGAAATAATTACAGCATATTAATGACCATGGCGCTTTTTGTAGGCACAAGACATATCCTAATTTCAGATTTAGGCTTGATCAGGTAGATGAGGAGAGTTATCACACTGACAGTAAGTATGAATAAAATTATAGTAAACATTAATCGGATTAAGCATTCTGTCAACAACTAGGCTGCCCAACAAGCTCCTGTGGGTCACAGACTACCAGTATGAACCTTTGAAAAATGTGTGCAGTTGCATTTTTGGATTTTACAGTGTGACATGATCATACTGGCCACTGATTGGTTGACTCACAGAATGGGGCGGGACTGGAAATCTTCCTGATTCATTCTCTCGGACTGGCGTATCTTCAGGATCTCTGTGTAGCTCAGATTCTGCAGGCGACTCTTGAACTGGTCCAAGGAATTAGGCTTGAGAGTCAGTGCTCGCATGATCTGCTCCCGCACCACCTGCATTACCTGCAGAGGAGAACAGGGAGGTTGAGGATGAGTGAGATTATCTTGGATGCAACATGTAGAAAGTGTGTCATGGTATCTGCTATAGACGGGCGTCAGTGCAGACATGAAGTCAGATGTAAGCCCCTCCCTATTTCTAGGAGTCAGGGGAGCATATAAACTGTGGTTCTGTTCCTGACAGGATTAATGATGTGATTTTTTTTTTTCAGAACCAGAGCCTGTAATCCAGTCTGGTGCACTGAGCCTTAAGGGGGAAAGAGCAAAGCAGAATAATTTAACAGTGGATACTCAACTGTTAGCCCCAGTATCATGCATCAGTGAAATGCATGACAGAACTTTTCCTATAATACCCCAGCAAGCTAATACCATTAGTCTGGCTGCAGAGGCACGACACGAGCGCTGTTCCAAGTCATCAATCCCACTCGAGGGGTCTTTGTGATCAACGGCGGTAACAATATAATATGAAAGTGTTCCACGACAACACATAAAACACATCATGCATATCCACATCAATTAGCCTAATGCATATGCATTACTGTCAGCAGATAATTTAAGTCTACACACACTCCTCAGTTGGACACAGGCAAATGCTTAGCCACAGACACACACACATTTAAGACTGATGCACTGGAGTTCAATGAGAATCACTGAAATTTAACAATATGAACGCTGAGAAGTGAGAAGTAGTAAACACTATCAATCCCCTCAACTAACACACAAATACAGACTAGAAAAAAGTCATGATCTTTTCGACATTCGTGCAGATGAAATAAGAATTGAATTAAAAAAACAGGTGATAAAAACTGACACAAACTGGAATTCATGCGTTTGTGCTTGATATTCTCTTATAAAATCTGATGTGAAAAATCTGGTCAAAGTAAAATATATGCAAGACATCTGCAACACGGCACTAGGAAAACTAAAATCTTACACGTCTTCTGTCATTTGAAGTATCAATTAGTAGAGAACAGCTTCTCCATTTGAGTAGAAATAGCTATTAAATAACTGAATGGTTAATAAATTGTGACTTTCTATGATCCCAACATACTTGAACTAACATTGCTTTCAGGTGAGTTCATGTCTTTCAGCCTCGAACGCTGGATGAGATCAAAACCAGTGATCAAACAAAGGGTCCTGAACACAATGGTACTTAACCTCATTAAGGTGTGAAATGGAATTAAAGCCCAGTTTGAGCCACTTTATGACAGCACCACACTGCATTTTAAACACAGTTAATAAAGCACTGACTCTTCCCAAAGTATAAAACTCCTCATCCCTCGGCACGTACGCTGGAGCCCCCGGAAAATGACTCCTAAGCTGAAATCTTCAATGACAGCTGCTTCCATTTAGCTTTGCACTCTGACAAGTGATTTGCATTTTGCATAATTAGGATTTGAACACTAATATAACTCAAAGGTAGATTTGCGAAGGTATTCGGCTTACACACAAGGGACTTGACTGGGAGCAAAGGTAACTCCTAATGTGCTGAAATGGTTCAAACGCAACAAGCACCTGGAACAGTGGTTTCCTCTCACAGCTGAGAGTAGCTTACAGAGCCTGGGTTGAAGTAGGTCTGTAAATCCTGCTGACTCTCTCTCTATATATATATATATATTTGACCATAAAAACAAACTTGACTTGGCTTCTTAACATTTCTTTGGCCAGGCTGAGCGGTGCTGTTCCAGCTACTGCAGGCAGCGTGATTGTAGACGTGACAAGGAGCCATGATTATGGATCAGCCTTGTTAGCAGCTGCCTCTGGGCCTGCAGATGCTGATTCACTGGATCAGATCATACTGAGGTGACAGAAAGAAATAGACTGTCTTCCCTTCTGTTTCATTTGATTTTGCTCCATTGTAGATCCTCTATTCTGTGCTCGCCTTCATGATCAAATGCTTGAGAACACACAAGTATTTCCAGCCTCTGCAAACACACTTCCTCACAATGTGTCGACTCTATTACATTGAGAGACAATAACAGGTAAGGATGATGTTTTAAGTGCATGTTTGTACTTATACATGCAGAGAAAACTTTATGGTCTTTGCTTATAATTGGTCTGGTCTCCTGTTCTGTACTTTTTGGTTTCATCTGGGCTCCACAACCTTAACAACCAAGCCAAAACCCAGTGAGCCAAGATCCCAAATATAGTCTTACGTAATATTGTTCTTGCTGTTTGTGCTTACTGCAAGGCGATTACTCATCAACTTGCTAACCTCTGGACTCTCACTAGTCAGACTAAGCTAGGGGTGAGCGCATTAAAAATAGAAGACTTCAGTTGCTGAAAATGAAACATGAACAGCATAAACCTCGACCCAGCACCAAAACACAGAAAAACGAAAGAGGACACAGGCGATCGAGGATAATCCTCCTGAATCAGTGTCACATTTGCTGTGTTAAAATGCATAAAGAACTGGTCTGGACTCAAAGTGCCCTTTTGGGATGTTGTACAGTGAGAGCGCCAGGAAAAAGAATGAACCCATTTCTAATTGTAGCTCTGATAAGCCCTGAAGGTAATACTGAGCTCCCACCATAATAAGACCAAAAAAAATCATTTTATAAATGATTACACAATTTAATCCAGGGATTAGCTTTTGGAATGCAAATATGTTCAGAGGCGGTAATCAGTGTATTTTCTAACAAATGGGCAACAAATTGACCTTGGAAAATAAACACATGCACAAAATGGTGACAACTGCAGAAAAGAGGTCTGTCAGGTCACATGGATTTATTTAGTTTAATTTAAATGTTTTTAAGCACCAATTCAGGAGTCGAGTGATTCTACAGTTGAGCTCTGAAATTAGTTTTAATGAGTCTAGATTTGGAACCTGTGCAGCCCTTGTCGTCTGGTTTATTTACAAAAGCTCAGACACAGACCCACAGCAGTGCACAAGGTCTTCTCTCGTGTGATCCAAGTCTAACTGGCATTAAGGCTGATGCAGGACATCAGTGACTCAGCACAAGAACCTTCTTCAAATCCCATTTGACAGAAGCAGACAAAAGTTCAGATCAGGATCTCAGCTGTTTAAAAAAAGAAGCACCGGTCTGGGCCAGGATCAAGTCTCTGCATGTAGAATCTGATAGAACTGTATAATGTCATAATGTAATACAGCAAACTGATTATAAAAGGTAAATTCTGTTGCTTTCTTTGGTGTGAATTGCACATGAGACGAGGGCAAAGGAGGGATGTCAACCAAAAAAGGGGAAGTTGCTGGACAGTATCAAGAGCTGCTGTACTTTACTGTATGTCAACAGAGTCATAGAAATAGCAGGATCATTCATGATTATTTCCATGAAGGGGACTACCTCTACTTTGTTCCTACACTCACGGAGCTTAGCCATGTTTCAGTAGCGTGACGGAGAAACAGAAATGAAAATGCCTGAGTAAGACTGCAACCACTAGAGGGCAGATGTCAACACTTTCCCTCCCTACCAGTCAAGACCTGTTCTAGGTGAGTGTGCAGAGACTGAGCTGAGATGCAGGCTTGTTGAAGACAGTTATAAGAAGGAGGATTTTGTTTTTCTGTACACGCGTCAGTCTGTCTGTTCCTTTCCATCCTTCTATCGGTTCATCCATCCATAAATGCAGCTGTCAATTCCTTCATCAGCTGAAACAGCTAGGAACATATTTTCATTAACTCTCACTGGTGAATGTCATCTTCATGCAAGGCTCTTCCGTATTCTGTCTTAGTCTGTGCTTCCATGTAATCTGTAAATCATATTTTCAGAAATCGCGGTCCAGCCAAAAGCAGATTTACAACCCCCCAGGACTGGCCTTTCAGCCGCAGCCTCTCTTCCTCCTCCTCCTCCTCCTCCTCCTGAAAAATGTCCAGACGAGTGGAAGAAGCCACAGCTTGCAATCATGCTACGAGAGATTCATCACTGCTGCCCACCACTTTTAATCACAGCTTCACCGAGCTGCCTATCATAAATTTTCACACGCATACACATGCTTATAATCCTGATAATAAAGCCTCAAATTAATTTATTTTCCCATTAAGATTACAAATGGCCTGTCAGTGTGTCTAGAAGGGACATTCTTCCCTTAAGAAGCCATTTAAAAATAAAGGAAATAATATGACAGTAGAAACAAAGACTGGGCTTTGATGGCCTCAGTTTTACTTATAATGTGGAGTACAGTTAAGACTGCAGATTGTAAACAAAAAACAAATTCTCTCGTTCTTCCCTGAAATTAAGCTTTTAAAGGCAGATCTCACTGTCACCTGCAGCCTTCTTTCCAACCTAATCCTGATCTCCGGAGACTGACTGCCACGCAGCCCTGGTGTTTCAGCGGAGGCGTCCTCGGGGAATGTTCATTAATATGCCTTGTTTGCAGTCATGTCTCTGGCAGGAAAACAATTCTGTTGGCCCATGTGGCTGCACTCATGCTAATTAACACTGCGAATATTCATCACATTTAAAACGAACACATGGTCCTTTCACAACAGGGCGGGGGCTGGGATGGGCGGGGGCATTATGAATATTTTATCTTCATCCTTCTTTTTCTTCCTCCTATTTCTCAGAGAGCACCTTGGTAGAGGTGAGGCGAAGACAGCGCTGAAACTAACTTTGCCAGGTGAGCTCACTCTCAGGATAAATTTAGGTTCAGTTTTGTACTGGCGTCGTTTTAGCTGCATTCTGGATGATCTGAGTGCAGAGCTGTTCATCACGTGCCTCTATTCTTGTTGATCTGAGATTTATCGGTTCCATCTTGTCCACCTTTATTTCTGTCTTTTTGCTACATTCCCTCTCACGCGCCCTGATCTCTCCCAGACAACAGGCCATCATTCTTTCTTGTAGCTCCTTCGCAGGGGACGTTAGACACCAGAGCAAGTGTCAGCAAAAGTAATTAAACACTGTCCCATGAGCCATCTAGTACACGTAATGAAGAGATGGCCGCACTGACTCATCTGCCACACTCCTTCATCCTCACTCTCCTCCTCAGTTCCTTTCAGTTTATGCTCAAACAGGACAGCCGGGCAGCTCAGCTCTCCCACAGTCGCCCCA